CCCTATCTATCTTCCCACTATTTTTGGCTCTTACTTGATTCAAGGGAAACTCACTTTTCTTCCTCCATGTGCCAGACTCTCAAACTGTAGAATAAGGGTAAATGATACTTCTCTATAAAATTCTTTGTGGTTTATTGATGAGAGTGCCATAGAAGATATAAATCATTATTACAAACTTACTTGCTTTTCTTTCCCAATATTTCAATTACTTTTTTTTTCCCCATGATATTTCTACAGTTGGAAAATAAAATAGAAAGTCATAATGGGCAAGTTTGGTGGGGGCAAGAGGAGACTCCGAAACCAAAAATTTTGTTTTGCTTTGTTTTTCCCGAGAAAACTTGATTATTAAATTAACTCAGGAAACTTTGGATAACTTCAGGAAAAAATCTTTTGGGATGTCAGATTATGCCCATAGCCAAGATGTAAAAGCCTTTGAAATCACTCCCAAAGTCTTGCCTATCTTTCCCTGCACTCTCTAGGTGATGTTCAACCTGATCCTGAGAGAGCAGCCTCTGCTACCTGTTGAGCACAACCCTCCCTGGGCCACCTAGAGTTGTAAAAGTGGACAGGTCTTCTACTGAAGAGTAGAAATGTTCCCCAAACTGCAGGAAAAGCCATGAAATGCTTGAGAATGTGAATTTTTCCTGTCGTGCTGTCTGTAAAGACAAGCTGGCTGGTCATGCTGCCTCTGTCCCATCAGGCATGACTTTGTCTCCTGTCTTGGACTGGAAGATGACAACAAATAAGGCTCCTTTTGCTTGCCCTGGAGGTGCCAGACAAGGAAAAGTGGCTTTCTGTCTGTGCATGAAACAACATCAGTTTTCCCAACTTCAATGTCTTGCAGCCAAAAACGTCCCCCCCACCACCCTACTGGTATCAGCAACCTCAACGAGGTTATCAGCAAGAGGCTGAGAACTTTGTGCCCGTGAACATGGCTCTTTTGCGGGGTGTCCCAAACACCATTTGCTGCAGGGCCAGCAGACCCAGACCCAGGCACCCAGGTTGCTGCTATTGAATGACTTGCAAAAAGAACCTTTCCACCTTTCCTTGCTTTTTTTTCTTTTTCTTTTTCTTTTTTATTAGTGGATTATGAAAACAGGCAATAATTTTACAGAAAGCAGGACGGGCACAGTTGGTACATAGCATCATGCTGCAGTTTTTCCGAACTGAATATAAACTCTTTTTTTCTTCTTCTTCTTTTACCTACCAGAATAAATAAATATGATACACATTTGAGTTCATCAATAGTGAAATCTAAAGCACAACTTCTTACACTACAGCTCAATTTACAGCAATCTGTACAGTATATTACTTTAATTTCCTTTTTGTTTTCCTTTAAAAGCCTTTATTTCTTTGCAAGATAGGTTTGACACACAAACACAGTTACACTTTGGAGCTAACTGGATGCCTTGGAGCAGCAGCTGGAAAAAAAAAAAGAAAAAATATTTGCCTCCTGGCATTAGAAAATAAACCAAAAAGTTATTTTCAATTGCACAGACACATAAACTTCTCCAGCATGACAGTGCACTGCTCAATAGCAAGAGCATTAGAAAAGGCTTTGGCCATTTGTAGCAGACCAGGTGCAATATTTAACTTAAGCTGTGACAATCTGATATTCTTTATGAATATTTGGGGGCCCAGTATTGTTCTTAGTTGTGACACTGTCAGTCTGGCCCTGCTCCACTGACGGATGCACTGGCTCCACTTTGGCACCACGGTGGTGCAGAGCAGCGCCTAGGTCTTGCTTTAAGTCTCGGTGGGTTTCTTTGCAAACAGCAAAACTGCATGATCCGGGGCAGATCCTGAGATCTGCAGCAGATCCTGAGACCAAGCTCGGGATTGGGATTAATGGTAAGTGCCCCCTGAAAGAACTGCACCATTTTAGGAATTTTTTTGTTGCTGCTTATTGCACCAACCTTTTCCTATGCCTCTGCTCTTGATTTGAGTCGGGATCAGACCCGCCCTTAGAGAAACAGGCCTTTGCTCTGGATAGGCAAAGGGGGAGATGCATTGTGCTGCTCTAGAGCAGCTCATAAAGAGCTCAGCAGGAGGTTCACAGAGGGATGAGGAGCAGGGAATAGAAAAATCAACACATCTTGTTAAAATCAGCGGGAACGTTATGTAAATGGCTCGTTTTAAGCTTGATTGAGTTATGTTTCATAGCTACTGTAATTAACTAATAAAATAGGGTAGTTGTGAATTTACATTTCCCTTTCTACAGAGGTTTGTTAAGTCCTTTACATATTAACTGTTATGAAGTGCCCTGATGCTGCTAAAAATGTGTAAATGGAAGTATCACAGGCCACACACGGGAACAGAAATAGCTCCATTTCCCTCCTGTGTGGACATGCACTTTGGGGTTGCTTCAGCAAAATGAGCATCTGGTTTTGGCTGGCTGCAGGGGCCCAGACCTGGTTAAAATGTCTCACATTATGAAATACCCAAGTTACAAATGGGAGGTGGGAGAATCTCTGTGTGTGTGGTTATTTTGATGCTTGGGAGCTGGATTTATACTTCCTAAACAGCAAAATCTTCATTTTTGGTTGGGGAAATACAGGAAAATCCTTGTTCCCTTGTCCCTCTGCTTGTTACCATAGATAATATCGTGGATATTTCTGGGAAAAAAAGGAAGAGGAAAAGGAGAAAGAGGCTTCTTTTCTGCTTCTATTACTGGATTTTGTCAGTGGCATTAGTAAGTATTTGGAATTTCTTCTGCGCTGTTTAAAAAGCTTTAATTTTATTAACACTCATGAGACTCTTCCTGCACACTAGAAGCAATTCTGCTGCAAAAATCTTCCTTAGATATTTTGACCAAGTTTCCCACAGCCCCTGACCCTGCAAGGACTGCAGCTAACATGGTCAAAAATTGTGTGAAAAGGTTTTTGAGGGGTGGCTGGCTTACCAAGGCAGGGCAATGCAAGCAAAGCTGTACGAGGGGGAAAAGACCAGCAGAGGAAATCTCCAGATAGACAACCTGCTTCAAAATAGGAACCAAGGGGCATATTTTCCATTTTTTCCACCTCTATTTTTAAGGATCAGATATGCCCTTTCCTGGCCTTAGTGTTTTGCTATGCATTTATTTGGGGAACATTCCTTTCACGCATAGAGAAATCGGCTTGTTATTCTACATTACAAAATAAAAAATGTTGCTTTTCTTTTTGCATTTATCTCCCGTGGCTGAAACTGCACCAGTGCTGTTCTGCCCCAGCATCAGGCTGGCCGAACATCCAGAGAAGATGGGAATTTTTCTTTCCGCGGCAGCTCCTCTATCTGATGGGCTGGGACCAACACCGCTCGAGGCTTTTCATGCCTGTGACGAAGGAAACTGCACTGCATCCAGCCGCGGTGCTTGCTGGAGTGCATCAAGTCTCGGCCTGAACAACGAGGGGAGGGAAATGTTGCTCAACTTTGTTTCTGAAACCCTATCAACAATTTGAATTTCTTAAATATCTCTGGCCTTGAGTGGGGAATGGAAGGAGGGCACCTTCTCCATTGCAAACCAGGGAAGATTTGTGTGATTTCTTCTTACCCCCCCCCAAAATTTTCAAGTGTTTAAGATCCAAAGAAGAATGATGCAATATCACTCCTTTTGGTCTTCCCACTATGCACACAGGCTTGAATTAGTTGGGGAGCTTTTTTTTTTTTAATTATTGAACCATGGTTTCTGCATTGGTTTGAAGCAAGAGAGAAGTGAGAGAAGCCACAGAGTGTGCACAGAAGAAAAAAAGAAAAAAAAAGGTCATTTATGTTGGCGGAAACATTGCTTCTCAAAAAGGAACAAGAAATCTCCTAGACTGATTATTGAAATGAAGGGCCATTATGATGAAACAAGGCCAAAACTATTAACTTAGTTCATTCTGAAATTGGTGAATTTGGGTTACTTGCTAAACCTTGTGTTTTTTGGCAAGTTTATCTATTCCTCCTCAGCTCAAGAGAATATAAAGCCCCTGTACATCACCTGCTTTGCCTGCAGCACTTGAGCATTTTTCACTTGTTATATTTTCACTTGCTAACCAGTTTCTGAAGCTGCAGGGCTTGAGGGTAAAAATTTGGTGGTAAGAGCATTTCTCTAAACACAGCTTGCATTAATCACAGTTTTGTCACAGAACCTTCTAATATGTGGGGTATGAACACACCAGGAGTTCATACAAAGTTTTTATTGCCCTTTGTTGTCGAAGTCCGACCAAGTAGCTCTCCAGAAAGAAAACCCCATGATTTGTAAATAAAAGAGTTTACACTTTGCTGGGGATAAAAGAGGAAATGATTTAGATAAAAAAATAGTCCTGCAAATTTGGCTTTGATTCTTCTTCACATAGCCAGCAGCATTTGGCCAGTGTCTTGTCCTCTGTCTTTGAACAAGTGCTTTTGAAAAAAACAATGGAAAATGCTTGTCCTATAGGAAGTGCTCGGACTAGAATTTTACCTTTGTGTTATTTCCTGGCCAACGCAAACTTTCCTTTAGCAGAGAAGAGAGAAGTGGAGCAGTGATGGGCATCATCCTTTCTCCTCATCTCAGACACCTTTAGGACTCCGACCCAAAGGGAGCTGCAAGCTGTGGTGGGGACAACGGCCAACTTGTAACTCTGAGACTAGCTACTCAGACTGAGAAAGAAGGAGGAATAAAAGCAAAAGAGGTCATAGGTCTGTAACACTGACAGTAACACACGGGTGACAGATGCTTTCAACATTACCAACTATATACAGAATAAAGCAGGACTCTTTCTTTTCCCAAAGAAAGCAGCAACGGCACAAATGTGTATATAACACATGGGCGTCGTGTCAGGGGACAGAGGAAAGAGGGCTTTTTCTGAACCTCACCATCTCAGGTGATGGCAGTCCAGAGGATAGTTCATCTCTCTAAATACACATCCTCTCCCCCTTCCTCGTTCAATAAGCAGTGAAGACAAGGCTGACAGACCACAACGGGTGCGATGCAACCGCTGAGCTAAAGAGACCTTTATAAATGCAAAGTTTTCCCTGCATGGGAGCACCTTTCTCCAGGAAGAGATGAGGATGAGGAGGTTCAAGGCATGACACCTCTAGTGCCAACCCTGGTACATCTTCTCGTGGCCGAGGGCAGCCTGTCTTGCAGTCAGTTGGGTAGGGTGTCAAGCCCAAGGGAAGCCGCGTGCTGCTTTGCCCGGAGCCTGAGGTTCTCGATACTCGTCGTTTTACTGTTCAGGCTTGGAAGGGAGCTGGAGGCCTGCAGGATGGGTGAGGACCAGACCTGCTGAGCGTGGGAGAGTGACTGGTAATAAGACTGACAGTGCAGAGAGCTCAGTGGTGCCATGTTGACGTTCATGCCCAAGTAGGGCATAGCAGAGGGTGTCCCCATTTCAAAGGAGGAGTAATGGACCAAGTTGTTGGTGGCTGCCATGTGCTGGCGAAATTGCTCCTGCAGGCGGAAGAGGCTCAGAGGTGAGGAGGAGTAGGAGTGGGTCTGAGCCAGGCCACTGCTGGATGAAGGCGTCACCGATGAGCTGATAGGAGACTCTGCAGCAGGAGACAGAGGGGATAGGGGTTATTTCTACAAGCTAGATGCCAGCACTGATCTTCATCCAGGTAGGGATCAGACTATGGCAAGGTTTTCTCCTAAAAATAATGCATTGGGAATGCCCCATGAGAGAGGGATTGTGTTAGTTCAGGAGGGCTAAAACACATCCGTGGTCCAGGCTTGGCATGCTAGTTTCTAGAAATAGGTTTGCCCTTTTTCTTAGTGCTTTCCTACTGCCAGTAGGCACTGTTCCTCTGCCAAGTTCTAACCTCAGCAGAATATTTTTTCCTTTCTCTGCTACAACAGAAGTCAGGCCTTCCACAGGCTTCCCTTAGTCCTGACAGAAGAGAGACAAGTTTGGGAAGTCTACGTGCAAGATGCCATGTTCTAGGAGGTAAAGGACTATATCCAACCACTGGCATCTCCCTTAGAAAAGCCACCAACGATCCATGAACGCGCCGCCCCTTACCTGCTTTCGGGCTTGCTCTCTTGCAGTTCAAAGCCTTGCTGTCCACACCAGCACTCTTGTCTGCTTTCACCTCTTCCAAGGTGCTCTTGAACTCCTCCTCTCTGTCTGCCTGGTCCTCGGGTGCTGACTCGCTGGCTGATTGCTCCGACAGGGTGAGGTTGAGGTCCGTGCTTACCTCGCTCGGGAGGCTCTGGGTCTTTTCAGCCTCTGTGGTGGTGGCCTGGGTCTCCAACACAGGTGCCTCCGTCTTGCTCTCATTGTGGCTCCCTTCACAGTCCTTCTGCTTCTGCAGCTGCTCCTTCTGTAGGCTGCGTTGCTTCTTACGGAACTTGGCCCTCCGGTTCTTGAACCAAACCTGCAGTGTCACAGACAGCAAGGGGAGAAAATGGGTGAAAATCCTCCTTAACCCCCGACTCAGCATCATTCAACCTGGGAGCTTCAAAGGAACTCCAAGGAATTGGGTCCTGCGAACTCACAGTAGCCAAATATCTATCCACTTTGTTGGAACTTAGAGGTCTACTTGCTCTCAGGGCTTTTACAAATAGTACAATAAATATGCTTCTTTGTAAATGTGTACCTTTATATTAGATCTTTGAGACAAAACATTTTTCCTTCTGATTTGTTCAGATGATCGAGGTGGCTTATAGCTGAGTTTGAGAATATTACACTGGATCACGCTACAATGCTCTACCAGGTTCTGAGAACGCTTATTTACCAGTGTACCAGAACTATAGAGGAAAGAGTCAAAATAAGCCATTACAGGTATAAACACATACGAGGGAATCCGTATTTTTTTAATCAAATTCTGCAGACTAGAAGAAGTATCTTTTCAGTTCATAAAGGTGCTGGCTGGCTAGTTAGATCCAGAGACAAAATTCTGAGGGTCAAAAATATTTTGATATCTGTTTAAAAGAACTGAACAATGTTTTTTCCTAGAGCCACCACTTATCTACTTTGCACTGAAAAACTTGGTATTTAATCTTTAAAAGCCACAACAATGTAAGAACCTCCCTACCAGCAGGTTACAAAGCATTTTGCATTAGCTGAACCTTAGCCTGAAATGTTAAAAATATTGGTAATGGTGGAAAAGAGCAGCTGGAATTACTTGCGTTTCTGCTCCTCTGAGAAAAACAGAAAATCACCATAAATATATAAATAAGTAGATTTTTGCTGAAGTTTCTAAAACCTCTCCCCTAGAAATGTGAAAGGACAAATGAAAACCAGTGTACAGTTCAGACAATCCTAAATTTAAAAACTACGCGTGTGGATTCACAATTTCTTTAGCAGATGTGTCACTTGGGTTGAAAGGCTTTTTTTTTTTTTTTTTTTTTTTTTTTTTTTTTTTTTTTTTTTTTTTCATTTGCCCAAAAATCTTTGGTTACACTCTAGGAATCTTGAAAGTCCTGCAGAACTAGTCAACCCTCCAGGAACCCCAAAAGACCTCTTAAAATGTCCCCACTAAAAACCAAAGAATTGATACCTGTACTCTGGCTTCAGGCAGATTTGTGCACATAGCCAGCCGCTCTCTCATAACCACGTCTGGATAGTGAGTCTTCTGAAAGGTCTTCTCCAACGCCTCCAGCTGCTGGGCTGTGAAGGCTGTGCGGCTTCGCCTCTGTTTGCGGTGCTGGGATCCATAACGTGCCTCCAAAATGATGTCTTGAAATGTACAGCCGTTGGAAGACAAGAAGAGTGGCCAATTTAATTATTGGAATTTGTATGTTGAAGTTGAATAAAACACTTGTTAATATCTGGTGAACCTATATAGCAAATATTTGCAAGGACTTTAGCTCTACAAATTTTTTTGCATGCGCTTTGCTAGTAACTCAGGTGTTTGAGAAGATAAAAGCTCTGACTAGGAGACTTCTGGAGTGGTAACCTCTTTCTATGATAGCAGTGGGAACTTTTGAGACTCCTATGCTAAATTCAGTTGAAATGAACCAAAAAAAGTTAGTTAAGAATGATCTACAGATGCACAGATCCCATCATGACATAAGCAACATTCACAGGGAACACAATTAAAAACAAGGTAAGGAGGTTTCCTGTCACAAAGAGGAGAGGGGCCCACCACTATGATCATGTTCTCTTTGAAACCAAAGGCAGAGCTCCAGCAGGCTTCAACACCGCAACAAAACTCAGTGTTGACCATTGGGAAGAGCCCATGTAGCTCAAACCCAGCTGCCTCATGCCTGTTGTGTTGGCTGGGGCCACAGTAGACCACCTGCATCTTCCCAGAAAGCAGGCCGAGCTGCCTCTATTTTAGTGTCTTGTATGTTGCTTATTGTACTGTTCAAGGCATGATATTGGAGAGCTGCTATGGGCTCCAGTTCAGGAAAGCACTTAAGCTCATGTGCTTATATCTGTTTAGCTTGAAAGCACGTGCTTTACCATGGATGGACACTCTCCAGCATCTGGGTTGGAAAAGCCAGCCAGGAACTGAACCCAACCCCACTGATTGCAAGCCCAGAGTTCATGCAATGTGTCCTTCACAGCGGAGGAGCTACTCAGAAGGTCTGACATTGCAAATTGTGCTTGCAAAATTGAGAGCGGAGAAGAAATTCAGGCTGGGGAAAATCTGAGTCTCGCTTATTAGGGACACGGGCTTATTATTTTAGGGCTTATTATTTTACCACAAGCGTTACAGTTTCACAACAGCTAGTTGGAGTGGAAGGATCTCCTTAAATCAATGAAAATAAGTTATTTTAAAATGAATTATAAAAGCATAGTGCCTTTATTATGCAAGCTGGAACACATTGTGCTACAATGTTGGAATGAAATACCCAGCTTGGCAAGAAGTTTGCTCCCAAAGAAGAAATGCAAAAAGAACTCTAATAGTGTCTGATATCATTTTTAATTTAGTCAAGGCTATTACTTTGAGTAGAAAAGAGGGATAAGCACATTAGAAAACAACCTAATACGGGGAAAAGTCAGCATTATCAGTGCACAGAGCCAGATGAAGGCTCTTGTTGCTGTTTGTTTGTGAGTTTGTCACGAGTATCATGGCTTGAAAGTAAACAATAAAACAAAACCTGCTGTCAGGCCAGGCCCAGAACTGCACAGCCAGGTTCCAAATATGTTCACTAATGAGCGTAGCAAATCAGCTTTGCACTGCTCAAACATTCCTCTCCCAAACCTCCAGCTGTTTCATTCTAGGTCAGCATTTGCAGTGCCTTGCTGGGCTGCTGCCCAACGAGTGTGGTTTTGGCGACCTGGAGAAGACGTGATCGGGCTAAAGGTCTTTGGCCAAGCACAATACAGCGCTGGCTGCATACAAGGGACTTCTGTATTCAAGGTATCGCAGCTCCTCGGGGAATTAAAACGTTGGTAATAGCTGCTGCCACTCTTGGAGGCAAGGACGGCACCGTTATGCATTCAGAAACAACGCATGATGCAGCCTGCCTGGACGCAGCGGTGTTCTAGGACAAGAAATAGACGCCACCCTGAAATATTTTCCAAAGCCAACATTTGTGTTTCAGATGTAAGAAATCAGAAGAAAGGACATTGGTTTAACAGCCTACCTGCAGGCTGGAATATGCCTGAATTTCTGGAGTAGAGGTTAGACCAACCAGCTCCCTAGAGGCAGCAGTTCATGCATTAAGTTTGGCTACTCCAACGAAAGCTAAACAACAATTATTTTAATGCTTTAACTATGTTTTCAGGCTTTGTGCAAGAAGGAGAATATAAATTGCAGGTGAGGCATTGCGGTTAAATCCAGAAACCTCTGTTTTCTGACTTAAGGTCATTTGCTTTTGTGCTGCTTTATTCTGACTGTCCCCAGAAGGCAAATGAGATCTATAACCCTGCATTAAGAGATATTCAGAGGTAACAATGTGAAGTAACTGCAAAGGAACTGGCTTGTAGGTATGTAATGCCTATCCCACCAAAGATAAGCAGATCACAAGGGGACACTGGGATTTAATTTGGCAACTCTCTCACAGATAGGTTATTAATTTTAAAGATAAGAGGTCAGAAAGCCAATTGGATTTCTTGCTAGAGAATATGGGAATAGCTCTTTTACTCCTTTTTTGTTCACTTCTCTCCTTTTTTTTTTTCCCCTAGGAGGATCAAAGACATTATGTCTTCCATATTCTAGAGTAAAAGATGCAAACGACCAAAAAATCTGTCAAAAGATCTTTGCGTCTAGGGAAGAGACACCCAAAGGACAAATTCTGCAAGGCACACTGCAGTTCTTGGGAATCCATTCCCATTCAACCATCCACGAGCTGCAAGCGTGAGGGAAGGGCCGGACAGATGACCAGGACAAAGAATTTGCCTACCTATCATCACTGCAGGCCAATGACAGAGCCAGAATTAAAGTCTTCTCAATCCCACGTTCCATTGGAGTAGCCCTTAATGATCTCAAACAGGTGTGGGTGCACTGTACTAGCTTAAATGCAGAGCAGATATATTTTCCCTACCATGCAACAGGACTTCTGATCTCTGCAAACTATTTTTGAACAATTCCTGCTACCGAATCATAAAATACTGCCTGGACTTTGCAATTCCTTTTAGTGGCAGTATCATTACAGTGCTGTTAAAATACATGGGAAATAGAACAGATCCAAGAAGCTCTAGACCAGGGATTCTTGTTCCAGTGTCCAGTCAGCAACAATTTTGTGCAAGTAGCACTCCCTAGGTAAAGATATGTGTGACTTTATTTGGGCCTAAAAAGGTTCCTTTCAGGAAAGCAAAAGACAGGACAAGCCCTGCAAGCCACATGCAAGCCAAGGGCTAGGATTCTGTCAAGAAATAGGTCAAGATGAGACGCAAGAGAAGATCTAAATGAAGAAGATATTTTTACTAGAGAAAAGAGTAATTGATCGAAAAAGATATGGAAAGTAATTTCAAGAAGGGGTGACATGGAAAGAGCAGGAATTTGCTTATAGCCTAGAGTGGCAGGAGAGAGTTTTTAAGGAAGTTTTTAATGTCTGGGGCCTCAGTGAGGAATTCCAAATCACTGCATGCTCGCATTCATCAGGCTGTTATTTACTAACAGCAAAGCTGGTCTTTCCGGCATCTGTTCTTCACTATTAAAAGAGATGTCAGTGTCTTTTTAAACTTATAATTTTAATTCCCTGTAGTGGCACCGTGTTTCTCCTTGCACCAAGCTCCCCAGGTACCACTCCAGAGCAAGAGCAATGTTCAATTTGCAGCCAGTACTGCAGGGCGCCTCTTGCCTGCACAGTGTGGCCTATATATTGAATATATGGGATTGTCACCGAGTGTTTATCACCAAGGAGAGAACAAGAGAAATGCTGCCACTGCTGGAGATGTAGTCGACACCTCCATGATTTAAATATGCTCTGCCTTCCCTGCTCTCCTGCCCAGGGCTTGGTGGCTCTCCAGTCAGGGCATGCTGTGGTGCACACAGCCTTGTCCTTATCCCATCTGCAGATGTTGTCCCATCCTGGATGGGACATATCCCATGGCATGATGTCCCATAACATCACGGGATGTTCTCCCATCCCAAACACTGGTTTGCCAATCACACACTGAGTTGCTTGAAATTCCTTGCGAATGTTTAGCTCGTGCAGGCAGCAAGGGGAGGTGCAGAAGCCACAAGTTGTTCTTACCAGCCAGTCTCTCTGCCAGGGTGAGCGCGTGCACCGAGGGGCGGTAGTCGGGCGCGTGCTGGGCTTGCTGGGCTGCCTGCTGGTGGAGGTTGTACATGGCGCTCAGGGAGTTCATGGCGTGAAGGGAGTAGCCGTTCACTCCATAGTGCTGCATGGCGACATAAACCTGGAAAACAAGAGCCAGCAGGTGAGCGGTGCTTAGCTACACGCTGCTCCCGCGTCCTCGTGTCCCCACGGAGCCTCTGAGAGGCCAACCTGGAACTTGAACTGAAGCATGCAAGGGTCACCTCCCGGCTCCAGCAGGCTCTAGACTAGGGTTCAGACTAGTTCCTCCAGACCTAAAGCACCAGTGACGCCAATCCAGCTTCCCAGCTGAGAGTCCAACATCTGACTCTCTGCTAGAAATGGTACACTGAAAAATACAGGATCTTCAGGAGTTCTCAGCATCGTTTTTAATGAGCTGATCAAGATTTAACCCAGAGCCAGGTGGCATTTTGTCCTTGCCATTGCCTGCAGTGGGCTCTTTCATGATCCTGTTGCCACAATGTCAAAGAATCTGTCTTATCTGAGCGCATTCATGTGTAACTCATTTCCGTTCATTCTTCTGAAGGTTCTTTTTAACAAAACACAAATGGTAGTCAAAAGAAAAAAAGAAAAAAAGAAAAAAAGAGAGGGGAGAAAAAAAGCATGTGGTGTAAAGAAAAATAAATCTGTAACATAACAGGGCCAAAAATGTTATGGCTAAAGGGGGAATTAAAGTTTGCAGTAAATACTGGGGTCTTGTAGCTCAATAGCAAGGAAATTATTTGAAAAAAAACCTAATGGCTTTTTTTTCTACTGCTGGCTTGGTATGAAACTTCAAACCATTTTTCTTTATAGACTATCTTTAAAACTGAGCCTAATTTGGTCTCAAAAGCTGAATGATGCTCCCTTCATCCATGCTACAAATGACAGAGGGCCTGGAGGATGCCCTTTCCCTGCTTCATCAGACATCAGACAAGATGTGAAACATTGCTCAGAACACAAGACGCGAAACATTTACCACAAAAAAATAAATCCCCAAATATTGTTCCCACCAGCAAGTCATCGAACAGAAAGTCAATGCAATGAATGACCATTCAGAGACAGAAGAGATCCAGATGTGCTAACGTAAGGAAAGCAGACGAGTTATCTAGGTAGCCTCTTAGAAATTAGTTTTGATCATTTTGATCATCTCTGCTCAGTCCCATTCCCATTTCCCCAGATCCCTTGCACTCTGTCATCGCATCATCTCCATGCAAATGGTGCTCATGGAGAACAAGTCCAGCTGTGGTTACATCAGGGAGATCTTACATAGACCATAATGTAGCCTTTGTCTGCATTGGACTTCCCTACCCATCTGCTCTAGATTCACTCCTAATAGTCTTCAATTTTAGGCTCCAAAATAGGCTTAGTGGTTCCCCCACATCCACCTTCCACCTTCTGTCCAGGCTCCAGGCACATCTCTGTGGCACATGAAATATATCACCAGTGATACTCTTTCCCAAGCCAAATCACACAAACAAACAAATAAACAAACAAAGCAAGCTAAAAGCAAAAAGCTCTGCTCTAGTTTGAGCTCGAAATTGTTGGAAAGACATTTTTTTGCATGAATACATGAGTTATTGAAAAATACATCAATGTAGGGCAGGGTACCTAAGATATATTCTATATCTGTTTCTGGAAAACCCAGGGATGGGAGATATTAAAATTCAATCTGTTTTGGTTTTATATATCCAAGCACTTGATTTTAATTTCAATTTCAAAGTATTTTATTTCAAAATTTTCTAAATTAAATTTTTAAAGATTCCCAAACTAAAATAATCTGTTCAACATTCATTTACACCTTATTATGGTTTTATTCTTTCTAATGGAGAAGAAAGTAGAAGCCAACACTAGTTTTGAATTGAGCCATGGGGATGGTGGATATTTTTGGTACAGATGCTGTCCTAAAAAGCGAGAATAGGTCTGCTGTAATAGAACTTAAGGAAGACTTGTTGCTCTGGCCAAGAGCTGAGAAATCAGCAGAAGAAAGAGGTACATGCACAAGCTAAGAGGGGACTGAGGGGGTATCCTGTTCATGTGAATGGGATGAAAATCCATCTAGGACACTGAACATATTAGCTGCCCTGGGCTGCTGCCAGACCTCAATCCTTAATAGACACTGGAGAATCCACACTGGGAGAAACCTTGCCAGGAGATACGTGGGAGGCCAAATGGCTTTGGCTCCCCTAGCCACATAAATGCCCGAGGGTTTCCCAACGCCTTTGCACGCTGCTGTTTGTGCACCAGAGGGGCACACTGGGCAAACAAGGGGCAGAGGAGGGAGCTCCCCGGCACACGCAGTCCTCAGAGGACACTGCAGACAGTGTGGGAATGGAAGCCCATTCCTCGGGAAAATCTCCATTTATTTGGTTAAAAGCTGCTTTTAGAGGCTTTTTTTAATGTGTGCATTCACACGAACTCTCCTGGTATTAATAAATATAATAATAATAAACACAGCAATAATAAATAATAATAAGGGAACTTAAAAGACAATGGCAGACACATGGAGGAGGCCAATATACACCACAGCTTCAGCGATAACTGCCTGGCATGCTGCAGTGCAGGCAACCAGCAGAATTCCCTGGTCAGCTGTGCCATAAATACATCATCCCAAATTCAGTGCAAAAAAAAAGAAAGTCTGAGGGAAAAAAAGAGATATCTTACATTTACTGAGCGAGCCTGTTCAACCCAATAGGCCAAGTTAACTGAGACTGCAAGCAATTCCTATTTAACTGTCAGCTCTGAGAACTCTCCAGCCTCAATAAATTAAATATTTAAAATACATCATGCAGCAATTTTTTTTTTTAATGGAGAAAGCCATTCATCAAGCCACTGCTGTGTTTCACAAGCTGTCGAATAGTGCTTACACTGGTTAAAATAATCTTTATATTTCATTAAGCAACCAAATAAGCTGATCCCTCCCCACTGGCTGTATAGATGGCTTTAATTTTCAAAATCTGCAAATGCATCTTTTATGTCTCTGCTGGCTGCAGGGCCTAAGGAAGGAGAGAAGCTGGGAGGAGGAGGAGGAGGAAGAGGAAGAGGACAAAGTTTCAGCTGCTGCTTTGTAGTAGAGCCTTGAGTGGGCAGCGACACAGCTGGCAGGGCAGCGCAGGGCCGATTGGGGAGGAAAAGGGATGTTTCACCCCATTTTTCCATCGACCCCATAGTAGGGTGATGCAAGTCCCTTATGTCCCTCAACAATGTAGTATATGAGGGGAAAGTGGGTGCTGGACTTCAGGGCAGCATCGTCAGCCCCAAGGGCTGATGCCAGCTGGCCTGGGCTTCTCAGCTTGTATAAATGGTGCTAAGTTTCCCTACTTAATGAGTATCTAATTACATATCCAGGTGCACCATCCCTGAGAGAGAAAACTAAAGGGGAAATAGCTGCTGGCTTCCTCACTGTGTGGAAACTTCTCTTCCTCACAGCTGGTATCCCTACATGTATTTGAAAAAGGTATGAGAACGTCTTTAAAGAACAAGAGTAGGGAAGACTTGGGAAAGACTTAAACTTCTGTATTTTCCCCCCTCTACCGAGAAAGAAAGAAAAAGAAATACAGATTTATTTATTGCACCTAAGAATTTGAGATCGGGGGTATTTTCCTCTTTCTGCCTTCTTCACTTCATCCCTTTATTCCCCACCAAAACGTCATCTGTTTGCATTTGGCTTCACCTGCCATGAACAGGAGACATTTAACAAAACACAGACGTGACAAAGCCTATCAGGGGAGAAACGTCTCGACTCCTGCAGCCCCAAGTGTCACTTGTGCTCTGCAGAGCAGGCAAGCTCGACCCTGGCTAGGACAGAGCCGCAGCTTGTGCAGACTCGGCTCTGGAGCACCGCGAGTTTAAACGCAGACGGTGGATTTGCTCAAATGGGTTATTCCGGAGGAAACCCTTTTTCTTACCAAAGAGAATATCTAGATGGATGAAGCATCTTCAATAGTTCTGATTAATTTACCCAGGTAGAGGTAGGAAATGCTTAGGATTTGAGAGCTTCTCTGCTCAAAAAAACTCTGTTGGACACCGTGAGTTTGGGGTTGGGGATGGGGCTGAAAGCTTTGCAGGGGCTTTGGGCTGTTTTCTATATTCCCTTCAGCCGGCTCCTTTAAAAAGGGAGTCATCGCAAACACAAAACACACAAACTAAAAAAAAAAACACTATGAGGTTAAACTTAAAAAGATGAGGTTAAACTTAAAAAGATGAGGTTAAACTTAAAAAGATGACTAATTTTTCTCAGAGGAGTCAAGAATGGAACACCAGCATTTGCTTGAGACTGGTCAGCATCAGCAGGATGTTTCTTCACCATTTCCTTAGCGCTTTGCAGAAATTAGGGGGAAGAGGGGCATGTATGAGATGTTCATAATGTAGAAAACAAACTTTAGTGAAATTCTGCCTGGATTTTGATAACTTATTGGCAGAAAGGAAATTCAGCACCAAAGGTAACATAAAGGAATCTCACACAGATTCTGTTGTGATGAAAATAAATTGCCCAGAGGTGCCTTTTAATGTTGCAAGAGCCCTGCACAGCCTCGAGCCCGAACCCTGAAGCAAAACACTGCGTGTGGAATGGGAGCAGCAGCAAGCAGGAACTGCAGAAGAAATGTCTGGTGCTCCCCCGTGACCTTCAGCGGAGGGTTGGTGCAGGCGACAGAAAAACAGGAGCAGCCCTGTCACATAAAAAGCAAAGTTGCAACATGCCGGGCTGCACAGAGCACAGGAATCCGTCGGTTATTAACCAGGAATAGCAGAGATTGCTTTGTGTCTTCCTTATTACTACTGGCATTAAACATCCTCAAAAATAAAATCCTTGCAAAATATTCCCCCAATCCTGGAGCCCTTCGGCTTAATGTTTTCATGCTTCGAGTGCCTGTTCAGACACTTTAAATCAGCAAGATAAATAACAAATTTCTGTCCCTACTTATCAGACAGTCTAGGAAAAGAGGCTCAATCTATCCACTGATATAGGTTTTATATATATTTGTTGCTAAATGAATTACATACCTAGGGGCTTCTGAATAAATGAACCTTGCAAGAGGTTTTCTTCAATCTTCTCTTTTTAATAGCCCTAAATCTTTAAGATATAAAAGGGGTCCAAAATCA